TTCTAAAAAATTTTGAAAGCAAACAATTGAAGATCATTTTTCTAAGATAAAGTTCTCGCATCTATATATTAAAGCAAAATAAAAAACAACAAAACAATGTTTTGTCAAAATAAAAATAGTTTGGTGACCACAAACAATTGAAAATCAGTGATTTTTGCTAATAGTCACTGATTAGTAGAATTATTTTTCACTGTAAGCTGTAATTATTTTTTTTATTTAGTACTTAAACCAATACAAAGCTAGCCGACTTTTCATTAGATTTAACGATAAATTCAGCATGTATGCTGAGATATTAAGATTATTAATTATAATTTTTATTAAAAAAATACACACAAAAAACATACAAAAGGAGCCAAAATTATAGCTGCTCATAGAAAATTAAAAACACATTTAAATAATAATTTATTTAAAGATATCACTTTTAGAAAATTAAAATTCATATTCAGAGCATTCACTTAAGCCGTTGACGTAAAAACTGCACCAATTCAAATTCAGCTGTACTTTCGAATTTGATTTGTGCAATGTTTACACGAGTTTGGTTTATCACGATATAAAGAAAATTTGAAGAAGAAAAAAAAAAGTGAATTGTTTGAGAAAAACTGTTTCTTTCATTATTTAAAAAAAATAGAAGTATTGTGGACTTTTTACTAATTCCTGAGCCCCCCCGCCCCCAGAAAGTGTGGGCCTTACGCCCGTGTCTATTGGGCCTAGGCGATAATCAGGCCCTGACTATCGTACGGGTTCCTCTGAGCCATCACAGCTCATGCACGTGCATTATCAAATGTCTGTAATATTACTAGACATGTCATGTTAATATTCCGTTAATCACAAATGTATCTTAATTGTTACTTATAATTCCATTGCCGATGTTTGCAGGGCTTCCTTTTTCCTCTCAGTGTGTTTTTCACTCCTCTGTCTCAACTTCAATGATACGGCAACTTCAAGATAAATAAATTTTAGATTACTTCCCAGCCTCAGACATCAGACCAGTTAGTATGAATTCTGTAATCCTGGTTCTTTTCAACTTAGAAAAACATTACTGAAACTGTTGTTATTTTCTCATGAGTAAAGAGTAGTTATATTAGTTAAACAGGTTATATTTTTAACCCCTTATATTTCATTCCCTTTGTCTAAAATATTACAACACTTTTAATGAATTTAAAGTAGTTTTACCAAGCAATAAACGTTACAGTGACCAAAATTTTTAATAAAATATTTAAATTTGTTTAGCTACCAGTCATATATTCAGTTAATTGTTATATAGCTTTTATGAATTTCGAAACTATCATACTTACCTGGCACTGGGGATGCCTTGATCATCAAGGAGGCTCCCCCGAGCAGAGACCTCTCATTGCACTGCGAGGGGTTGACGTTCGCCACATTCACAAATTGTGATTGCTTGGGGTGCATAATTTTTGGTAGTTGGGACTGCGTTCGCGCTGTCCCTATTAATATAAAGAGGAGGATAAGAATAATTTCGGTACTAGTGGGTTCCAACTGATAACCCACAAAATAAACTACTATATTAGTTGTCATTTTTTTTGCAAACAATTTTCGTAAAAAATCTATAAGGGTTTAAAATACTTTTCTCGTTAATAAAAGTCTCATTTCTTCGTTTCTGTGAAATTTATCATACCAATGGTGCAAAAAAGATTATTTCTCAGGTTTTGCATTCCCGAAAAATATTTATTCAAATACAAAAATAATCATGTATGTTGCTCTTTTTTATTTAATTTTTTTGTATTTTGTGAATATAATTTAGCATGAGTGTATCAGAAATTCTCCGATTTAACTTTTTGAAACCACTCATTTTGGACGAAAATATTTACACCGAGTTAATTGCCCGAATTTTTTAATATGCAATTAAATATTTTTACAAATCTACTTCTAATTNCTAGCGGCTGCGCTGAAACGAACGAAAGCCCACTCCTCCTTCTCATCTGCTCCTGCTCAGTGACGTCACAATGTGACGTTAGAGATAGATGCGCGCGTGGAACTCTGGGAGATGATTGTGCAGTTTGTTTACATTTTGCTAACAGGTTTGTTTACATTTTGCTAACAGGTTTGTTTACGTTTTTTTTTCAAAGCTTCTAATTATATGAAATGTCTTTAAATGATGAAAAACGGTCCTTTTCAGGACCATCAAAAAATAAATTTTTTTGTTGCGTTTGTGACAAATCTTTTTCTTCGAAATTTAATTTAAAGAGGCATATGAAAAATGTTCACGATCAGGAAGTAGAAGAGCCTTCATTAAATGGACAAAAGAAATTTCTTTGCAAAGTTTGTAATAAATCTTTCGCATCCAAATTTAATTTGATGAGACACGCAGCCAGTGTGCATGGACATCCATCAACAGAAACAGAAAATTCCTGTAGCTTGGAAAACAAACCAACATCATCAGAAATCGAAGTGCAATCAACAGAAATTGTTAATTCCAGTACCTTGGATATCATACACCTAACATCAACTTCATCAGAAGTCGAAAAACCTTTTGTGTGCACATTTTCTGGTTGCATTTCCAAATTTCAGCATGAAAGGAGCCTTAAAAGCCACGAAAGAGAGAAACATGGTCTTATAAATTATAAATTTGAAAGGATATGTCCTTTGTGCAGTGAAAGATCTGTAAATGTAGAACAGCATTTTATTGACTTTCATGACATTCACATTGCAGTTTCAGAAAATTATTTTGATTCTTTTTCGAGCTTTGAAGTCTGGAAATTAGAAATGGAAAAAAATACAAAATCTTTTTTTCGAAAATATAGAAGTGATGAGAGAAATGTTAATGGTACTGTTACAGTTTATTACAAGTGCCACAGATCCGGGAGCTTCGTCTCCAAAGGTTTGGGGAAGAGACATTTGAAAATAAGTGGCAGTAATAAAATTAATGGATTTTGCCCAGCTAAAATCAAAGTTCATAAACAAAATGATGACAAATGTAAAGTCATATTTACAGAAACTCATGTGGGACATGCTTGTGACTTAGGTCACATGCACATGTCGAAGCAAGAGAGATTTGCATTAGCAAATAAAATAGCTTCAAACATCCCTTTTGATGCTATTCTTGATTGTATCAGAACTAGTGTGAGTGATAAAGGATTGGAACGAATACATTTACTGACCAAAAAAGACCTTCATAATATAAAGAAGTCTTTCCATCTATCATCTGCTGTAATGAAGCATGAAAATGATTTTGTTAGTGTGAATTTGTGGGTGAAAGAGCAACTAAGCTCTGAAAATTCTTGTGTGCTATTTTTTAAAACACAAGGTGAAACTTCTGTGGAACACCCTTTCCTTTCCATGGAAGATTTCACATTAATCATTATGACAGAAGCTCAGATAGAGCTGCTGAATAAGTTTGGAACAGATTGTGTGTGCCTTGATGGCACACATGGGTTAAATGCCTATGGTTTTGAGTTAATAACTCTTTTAGTAATAGATGACTTACGACAAGGGTTTCCGTGTGCTTTTATGGTGTCTAGTAGATGTGACCAGCTTGTGCTAGAAATTTTCTTCGATGAAATTAAAAAGAAGACTGGTGAAATAAAGTGCAATGTCTTCATGTCAGATATGGCGGATGCATTTTATAATGCATGGTCCTCCATCATGCCATTGCCAGAGAAGCGTCTGTTTTGCGCATGGCACGTTGATCATGCATGGAGGAAGAATTTGAAGCGCATTGTGTCTTCAGAAAAGAAACTTGCAACATACAAGCTCTTGAAGTGTCTGTTGTATGAACAGGATGAGGATGCATTTCTGGTTCTTATGAATGCTACTTTAGAGAAGTTATTAGAGGATCCTGATACAGTGGACTTTGGCCAATATTTTTCAAAATATTATACTGAAAATGTAGAATGTTGGGCTTATTGTAAGCGGTTACACTCAGGTATAAACACTAACATGCACCTAGAAAGGATGCATCGTACTCTTAAATATACATATTTGCATGGCAAAAATGTTAAGAGGCTGGATAAAGCGATTAATGGCATTATGCTTTTTCTCCGTGACAGACTCTATGATAGGTTAATCATAATTCATAAAGGGAAATTGACCAGAAAACTGGTAGACTTAAGAAATCGCCACAAAAAGAGTTACAACTGTAACTTCATCTGTGTCAAATCTCCAGATTCAGTAAATGAATACCTTGTTACATCATCCGATGGCAAGGATATGTATGTCATTTCAAAAAATAAAGAAAATTGCCTATGCCACTTAAAGTGTAATGAATGCAATGAATGTATTCATTCTTATGTATGTTCATGTGTTGATTCAGCTATTAGGTGGAATATGTGTAAGCACATACATTTCCTTTGTATGAATAAGGATGAGAAGCATAATGCAGAAAATTTAGATATACCTAAACTTGATGCTTTCTTAAGTAATAATTTAGTAATGAATGATGATAATGAACAAGATGTTTTAGTCAATGAATTATGCCAGCAAAAGGAGGTTGAAGTCAGCAGTTTAGAAAAAACTAAAACTGATCTAAAAAATCGATTTTTTAATTTAATTGATAATTTAAAAACACAAGAACAGTGTAATTTAATTCAGAAAGGGTACTTGTCATTGCTTGCAACATCAAATGCAATAGTTAATATTGATAAATCAGCCACGTTTCCCTTAATGGAATGTAATCCACCCAACAAAAATATAGTTCCTCAACGAAAATTTGTGGCCAAAAAGAAAAAGAGGCTTTCCTCAGATAACATAAAGATGACTTTCACACAAAAAGATGCAGATAATTTAACTTTACCTTTAATCCTTAATTTTAAAAACAGTAAAGAAAGTTAAATTGCTTACAATTTTAAAACCATTTATAAGCAAAAATTTTTAAAATATATGTGGCTTTTCCCAAAACTGTTACTTAGTGGACTTTCATAAATTAATAATTTAAATTGGGAAAAAATTTCTTTAAATTATGATAATTTAAATTTTGCTCCAAACTTTTATTTAGAAGCTAATTATTATACCCTACAAGTACAGTCTTTATTTTTGTCTCCTGGGTTCTCATTCATGAGGGATAGCAGCTATATTAGAGGAAAATGCAACTTTTATTTTAATGAGTAGCAATTTTGTTTCGAATTCTTAATTGTAATAGATAGATCAAATAAATATTTGCTATGATGTTCGACATGGAAATTTCCCAACACTATTACAATGCCTAAATTTTGAAATGTACATTTAAAAAATCTCATCAATTTCATTTTTATTACTCTCTTGAAATTTTACTAATGTTACTTTTGTGTATAAAAATTAATCTTTTATTTATTTTCTATTTAAAATGAAAAATTAAGTACTTAAGGAAATTAGAAGTTTTTCTTCTAGCAATCACTTGTCTGATGTATATCAGAAGAAAATTCCTTATATAAATTAAATTTATTTATCAAAAATAAAGGCATAGTTGATGAATAATTGTTCTTATTTTTATTGTATTTTCACATTGTTTTTTCTCTGAAATGTTATTACAAAAATTTAAATTTTTTGTATAATAATAAAATATAAGCTTTCCCTAGCAAATCATAATTTTTTTTTTTAATTTTTGGTTAATTTGATTTTGTGTCTAATGCTTAGTCTCACTGAGAATTCACATTGTATTTTCATATTATTTTTTATTGTATTTTCACATTGTTTTATCTGTAAAATGTTACCTGAAAACTTGAGTTAGTTTGTTATGTATTAATAAAATATGAGTTTTCCATGAAACATCATATATATATATGTGAGCTTTTTTTTAAATTTATGATTAATTAGATCTTGTGTCTTATACTTAGTCTCACTAAGAATTCATTGTTTTTTATCATATTTTCCCATTGTTTTATCTATAAGTTATGACTGCAAAGCTCTAGTTACTTTTTTGTATATTAATAAAATTTGAGTTTTCCATGGTATATCATTTTTTTTTATTTAGTTATCTTTTTGTTGATTATTGTTTTCACAATACAATACAAGAACATATGAACAAAGTGTGTCTTCACTTACGCTATGCCTATAAATTGAGCATTACTATGTAGTTTAAAATTAATATCAAAATTTTACAAACTTAAACATTTCATTTATTTAGTCCGAGAGAGAAATTGCTTTTTACTCAATTTTTTATTTGGGTAACTTTTGACTACTTGGTGTTATTCGTTTGGTTCCATCTTCATCCCATACTAGTATTTTATATATTTATCTGGAATACTAAAAGTTCACAAGACGATAGCTTAATAATTGCACGAAATGCTAAACACCAAAGAATTAAGTGCTGTTCATATTGAGATTTAGCATTTCAATAATTTATAAATAATATGATACTGTATGATATAAGTTTAATATCCTTGATTTTAAAAAAAACATTTTCTATAATTTGTTTTTTAAATTAATATCATTAATATATTAAATTAATTGGGTTTGTTTTGATAGTATCAAAAAGGCAGATTTTTAATAATATTGAAATAATGAAGGTTCAGATCTATAAGTAGAAAAATATAATTAAATTTCTCACAAACAATCTTAATCCTAAATAAGTCGAAAGTCATTAACTCTTTGCAAAATGTTTGCACATTTTATTTAAAAAATAAATTGATATTCTAAATATTATAGTTTCCAATGTCTTCATAAAAATGTTGTTGGTAAAGAAAAAATAGCAAAAACATTCATTAATAAATATTTATTGAGAGAATTTGTTTCATAAGCATTTTTGATTAACATGTTTTTACACATAAAATAGAAATTATCACAGTATCGATATTTGGCACCCATTCTTAAAATTTCAGTGGTTCAGCCTCAAAGTTTCAGGTTATTATGATTTTACTTACTCGAAAAAACCTACCTTCATAATTGCATTTTACATGGGTTCCACTCTTCAATTTCTAGGACTGAAATCAGTCTTGAATTATGTCCTCTAATTAATATTTGATTCCGCATTTTTTAATGTTCATTTTGTTTAATAATTTTAAAAAATATTACTTTTTATAACATCGTTATTTTCATAATTATTGAAAAATGCTAAAGTAATGTCTCACTACAATGAAAAAACAGAATGGACTGTACTTAAACTTTTTGTAAATAAAATTTGTTTTGCTTAACCTGAATTTACTCCTTTAAAATGCTAAGCATAGTCAAATTATGGCCATTTTTAAAAATATATATCCATATCTTGAACAATAAATGGAAACAAAAAATTGTGGAAAAATAATCAAGTCATTGATATAATATGTGGACTATTCTCACAGTAGGTTAGCTATAAATTTCAGAAAAATTCTGTTTAACAACTCTAGACCATGTTCAAAAAATTCAGTCTTAAATTTTTTTTAAATAATTGCAACAATGAATTAATTATGAATAAATCTACTCTAGAAACTAAGTTTATAATAGAATTAAATACAAACTACATGCATTGCATTTTTATTACTTCTACATTCTGTTCTTTGAAATTTTCATGACTCTTTATAAAAAATATGTATTAACAGAAACTACAAATACTGTATGCAGGTATTTCTCCATAATTTGAGATACTAATTCATAAAGAAACTACTGCTATAACAAAATAAATATAAATACACAAATTTTTAGAATCATAATTTAATGAAATGTATAAGATAATTTATTAGAATAAGATAATTTATTCGAAAACTATCAGTAAAATATAATTAAATATATAAAATATTATTAATTTATTGTGATAATAATAAATATGAATAAAATTAAATTATTAATAATATTAAATTATAATAAATATTAATTTTAATAATATTAAATAAAATATTATTAATTTAAATGATATTCTTGAAAAATATATTAATAATCAAGCAATTTAATGCTGCTAGGCTTACAAAAAAACACACACACAGGTTTAGAAAACGTATTTGTTTTCAACAATTTTTTAAGTTCATTTTAAATACTTCTCTTAAATTTAAAAGGAAAGAATTGCGCATGTCCTTACATACGCTAAAAGTCAACATAAATGACGTCAGTGTTACTGAATTTAGCGCATGCGCAAACTATAAGTCAAGATGAGAAAATGAGAAGCTGATGTGGACTCCCGTTCGTTTCAGCGCAGCCGCTAGTAAATAATTTCGGTGATAGTGGTTTCCAATTGGCAACCCACAGAATAAATTACTATATTAGTTGTCATTTTTTTTGCAAACAATTTGCGTAAAAAATCTATAAGTGTTTAAAATACTTTTCTCGTTAATAAAAGTCTCATTTCTTCGTTTCTGTGAAATTTATCATACCAATGGTGCAAAAAAGATTATTTCTCAGGTTTTGCATCCAGGAAAATATTTATTCAAATACAAAAATAATCATGTATGTTGCTCATTTTTATTTAATTTTTTTGTATTTTGTGAATATAATTTAGCATGAGTGTATCAGAAATTCTCCGATTTAACTTTTTGAAACCACTAATTTTGGACGAAAATATTTACACCGAGTATATTGCGCGAATTTTTTAATATGCAATTAAATATTTTTAAAAATCTTCTTTTAATTTTCATTTGTAATTCAATACTTTTGTTTTGTACAGCTTGGCAAAAATCTGACAGTAATATTTAATGTTCCTTCAAGCATAAAAGAGTCCTACATAAAATTTTGATAAAGTTGCGGCCCGCCATTTGATTTGTGTTTTTAATTGTGGCCCCCGGCCTCCTGTAAGTTGCAAACCCCTGCTATAAGGAAGGAATATAGAGGGGAGCTCCCCTCTATATTCTTCGCCTATACTAGTATTAAAATTATTTTAATTTCAGCAACATAACTTAAGATTTATGAAATTTTCGAAGATTGGATATAGTAATGAAAGGTAACGCCTACTTTCTGTCCAGAGCTTGAAACGATCAGAATTACATTTTTCTACAGAACAAAATTCAAAAGGTAAGAATTGTCATTTTAAAAACTGCGACATGTTCCATTTCTTGTAACTTCCAATTAAAAATATATTATAGAGAATCTATCAATCATAAGGATGGCAGCACCGTCAGTCGGTGATCACATTTTCTTTTGCTTGTAGTCTTTTCAGTAAATTTACTCCGATTATTCTTTGACGTAGTTTTTATGCTGTTGAAGACTTTAAGATATAAAATTTTTGGAATTTTCGGTACATCACATTGAGCAAGGTTTATCATTATCATTCCGTTACAGAAAGTAGGCGTTACTTCGAACCTGTAATTACGTTCAACAAAATGTGTAGTACGATTTTATTAAGTCTTTTGTTAGCGCATGTATCCCTTTTCGGGAACATCTTTTCTTATAAGATAAAATAAGGTACCTTACTTTATTCTTAGCATTAAGGCCTTTATTTCGCAAAATTAAAACAGTTCAGGCCCTTATAAATTAAATAAGCAGTGAAATATGAAGTTGACTGCTAGGTTGCCAGACACATGCAGTCACTGTGTTGATTGATAGTTCTGCTATTGGTATGATTAACGGAGGTCCTATAAAGTTATATTTTTTAATAATATCATTCTTACAATAAGTCACCAGAAATCTCGAATATTTGCTATAGCCTACATCACGGAATCTTTTCATAAAGATTAACGGAAAATTAAATAGTAAAACTTGAAAAGTAAGGAAAATTACTCCCACTTTTTAAAATAGTCACCATAAGATATATCTCATTTTCTTAATTTTGCTACTATTTTTTAAGGACCGTAAGAACCCTGCTCAGAAAAACAAAAACGCCATCGAAGTTTGGCGAATTACGGTACAGAAAAGTGAATGTAATAAATATCAAAACAGGTTTAATTGAAGTTGAAATGTTAAGGTGCTCCTATTTTCTAATGATCGACTTTCTATTCCTCTCCAGCAATGAAGCATTTCCTATCGTTTATTGCATTCGCAGTCTTCCATTGTGATTTGTCAGATTTCGATAGCCTTATTGTTTTTTCCTGGGTTAAATATAAATTTGTGACCCCTAAAGGGAATGATTTTTTTGTTTTCATATTTGCTAAGGATTCTAAAAATAAATATTTTGGGAGATCTTTACGAAACATTCTGAACTATTAAACGTTCACAAATTTTAAAGTTATGAAAACCAATTAAAATCATTTTCCTCAGTAAATGTTATCAAAATTTTTAAGTAAATAATATCTTTTTTTTGGGCAAAACCAACTGAAATCATGATTTAAACAAGGTCAATTTAAATCAAGCAACAATTCAGAGACAATCACTAAATAGCCTGATAGTCATGGAGTCCTTATTTGCAAATGAAATATAATGGTCTGGGGGAAATTACGTTTGACTTTTCTGCTTGTTCTTACGCAAACAGTCTTTATGGTCTAACCAAGCTGCGGTAGCTAAGGGATACAGCGTTTGCCTCCTAATGAGGTGACCCAGGTTCTCAAC